TTTTTCCATTTTTTCTAAATTTTTCAAACCACTGATTTGGTGGTTTTTAATGGTTGAATATTAACCTTACCATTTTACCCTCACATTTTTTTTGTTAATTCTCATGTTGCCCTTAAACCCTTTTCTTCTACCCGACACAGCATTATTCTTTCTTCACCGCAGCCTGCTTCTCCTCTTCTCATCTGCTTGTGCTTCTTTCGCTTCCATATTCTGCTTCTGCTTGTTGGGAGAGTTTCCACTAGTGTTAACTTGCTTCACCAAACACAGCATCAATCAAGGTATGTGTTTAATAATGTATGATTGTTGACTTTGCTTTTGTTGGTGAGTTGGAAAAAAAGAAGATCAATACAGGCAATATATCTGTTTAATTTACTGTTTTAAGTGGAATTAAGAGCTTCATTCCGTGACAAACCATCTTTGAATCGGATGGTTGTACCTCTCTACTTTCTTTACAAGGGCTAGGGTTCAGGTCATGTGGCTCCAGTTTAGGTTTCTTTAGTAATGTGCCGAGCTGTGTGCTCCTTGTGATGGTGTTGAAGGAAAAAAATCTTTTGTGGGATGACAACTCTTATTTACTTGTTGCTAATGCATTTTTCTTTCTGTATTTCTCCAGATATTTACTATCAATGTTGTTGTGCTCTGCCATATTTCTCTTCAGTTGTCAGTTATTGATGTGAAAATAGCTATAAGGATGCATATATAGTTTGCAAAAGATCCAGATGTTGTCTGATGGATCAATGATGGTTGCTGGGTTTCTTTTGAACTTACTCTGCCCCAAATCTAGTCATTTTCAAGTTTCTGTTCCAGATTATTTTTTTCTTCTTACCAAGTAACTGTTAGTAGAAGTTCTTTTGTTCCTTCCAAAGTTGTATTTGGTTGCTTTTGGGTTACTTTCCAAAAAGAATTGACTAAGAAATGAATAGGAAATGAACCAAACACAATGTAATATTACTTGGAGAACAACTTTACAAATCTATATATGTAGTTGCCTTACATAGTTAGCTACCACAGAGATAGAACAGATGGCTACTAATTTTCTTCGAGCCAATAATTTTAACTTTATGGTCTGGCTAGCTTCAAGGTCTGATAATTGGTCTCAAATTAGAGAACAAGAGAGACATCATAGAGGTTGGCCCATATGGATAGTTGTCACTTGGGTAGAGGGTTTTTATCAGGGAAAAGTTCATGCATATATTGTTGATCATCTTGGGTAGAGGGTTTTAACAGGGTAAATTTGGGGGCAAAACTGTTCTCTGCCGTTTAACCATGATTTATAAAAAACAAAAAGAAAAAATAACAATGAGATACTTGTCCAGTCTAGAAAAAGTGATAACTCAAGTTGCTTGATGCATATGAGTAAGGGAAAATCAACAAATGGTCAGAGAAATATGAATCAATGAATTCCCCGCCTAGTCATTTATGGATTCCCTTATTGGTCGTAGTTATAAACTGTCCTTTTGCAAAGCAGAGAAAATGAAACATAAAAAATCCCTCCTAAGTTATGTAATTAGTACTAGCCATTGGAACCATTCTCTATTTTGTGCTAAATATGCAAGAGCCCTAAATTTCCAAAATGCAGTTTGAAAGCCCTAAAAGCTAGTTTAATAGATTACTTCTTCAGTTCGGTTTCAACAGCCTGTGTTCCATATTATACAAGTACGATACAGAGGTCCAGTTGCTTCTATAACCCCAATAAAGTAAAGAGGAAGAAAACCACCAATAGAAAATGAAACTTTTCAAAAATGCAAAAATAATATTTTGCTGCTAAAACCAGCTTGTGATGTAGATTATAGACAAACTAAGCAGTTGTTAGACAGATGGAATTTGAGAAAGATCTTGAAAAAGATTCAAAATGCTTTTATTCTTCAAAAATGAAAGAGAAGAAAATAAATAATATTACATTTTAAAAAAAAAAAAAAAAAATACCAAAATAGATCAAAAAGTGGAAGTATTTGTACACTGGTTGCCTAGCAGAAATGGACCAGAAAATTGCATAGCTCCACTGGATGCTCCTCACAGCAAGTGCAAGCTGTTTCCTCCGGTTCTCTGGCATTTTCTCTTGGTTTAAAACCCCTGTACCTATTTTCACCTACTGCGTCTCAAGCT